GATAATACCATTTCGTGGGATAAAGTCGCATAATGACTCCTGTTACCAAAGATAATGGTCAGTCTCCTGCTAATGAAATTAATAGAAGTGGAACCAGACCAAAGAGCTGCACATAAAGGGTGGAGCATATGGGGCCCATTCACTTTAAGCACACTACAACAGCACCTCTTTTCTTCAGCCCCTTCCACCATAATATCCTGGCCCCCAAACAGCGAGGCTATGAAAGGCCACAGTGTGCGCGTGAGGCTGTTTGCAGCCGCTCCCAGAGGCCCGATGGGCACGTGACCTCAGTGGGAGGAGGATGGGTCAGTGGACTTGCTCTATTCCTTCCAGTCAGACGGTCTGCAATCATTACTGTAACTTCTTGTTATTTTTGAATGCGTGCTAGAGGAGGCCAAGTATGTCCAGATATTGAACACAAGATGTGAAACTGATCTTTAGAAACTGAAGAAGAAGCGAGATGGAGAGCTGAATTAAAAGTAAAACATAATATTAAATACTACTTAAAGTTTCTTGAAATTATGACAAAGTGAATTGGAGTCATAAACCTTCTTCTGTCTTCTGGCCAGTGCGACTTGACGGGTAATTTAAATAAGCCAAAAATAACAAATGGCCTTAAATAAGTACATCTGCCTCGCCTGCACCAGCCGTGCACTCTTAGACTCATTAAGTGAAGCAAATAAAATGTAGTAAAAATGAAACACTCAGATATAAAGCACGGCTTATTCTTCAAAGAAATTCAATCCAATTTTATTTATATAGCGCCAAATCACAACAAAAGTCGCCTCAAGGCGCAAAAGCTGCCCTTTAAATATTCACTTCCTTCAAATATTTGTATGGTACCCCATTTCCTCCACAAACTCACCCTCTCCAGAGATCCTCGTATATGTGTGCTCTTTGTAAAGCCAAGTAACGGAAAAATATTTACAATGTATACAGCCGCCATAGGAAGTTTGTTCATCCCAGTGAAGTATAAATATTGCGGAATGATTAACCTCGTTCTTTCAGGGGCTGTTCGCTCTTTAGCATCTACTGGTTAGTCCTTCTCACCCAAAACATTAATAATTTTATCAACCTTGAATCAATTTAAAAAAAAAAGATAATTTAAAAGTAAGTATGCCTTGTAGATTGTGAGACATTTAAATTCCATAAAAGGTCATTCCAATAAACAGTTTGATTTCTTGTTTTTTATTTGAACAAAGTTTTTGTTGAGCCAGCAGTGATATGCTTCACCTTAAACCACATGCTAGTATGTAATAGATTAGATTAGTAATGTTAATTCGGCTTTAAACAAAGCCATACATGAAAGGAAATCAAATAAAAAATTATGACCCACTGAACAAAAGCCTTTGCATGTGTTGCTTGTTTAATCAGCATCTGCTTCTCTTTAGACGGGCTCAGCATTTACTCGGGAGCAAATTTCCTGACACATAAAAAACATAAAAATGAATGAGCGATCTTTACCTCTGTTCTGTCCACTCCTCACCCCCTCTTATACCACAAACCAACTTGACATCAACATCTGCCCTACTGCTGCAACCCTTTCAACCGCCCAGACTGAAAATAAATTATTGAGATTATGGGGCTGAATGACTGCAAGAGGGAGCATGCAACCTACATTTTCACCTGCAGCACTAATAACATTCATCATTGTCATTTATTAAAATAACAAGGACTCTGATTTGAACAAGGTAATAATGGATATTTAGATTTTTCAGCCCTAAATGAGAAAATCTACATCTTACATTGGGACACCGAGGGTCCTTTACAAGCTGTTTTTGCTGACGGTGTGTCTGTAGTTTCTCTAAGTGCGACGACAAAGCTATCGGGAAAGGATCTCCTTGTTTTTTTTTCTGTTCTCCTAAGAGTTTTCCTGCCTGTCTTCCTGCCCCTCCACATCCTTTAAGACAAAAGAGGAGCCAGTGCTTCTCAGAGCTCTGGGCCTTGTTCCTGAGGTGATGTGATTAAAGGCTTCTGTCTGGGCTGCATTCATTCAAATGCATCACACACACCACAGCTGCTGTACTTAATTGAATTGTCGGGGCAGGAGACTGAAGGTAGCAACAAGACTGACAGGCTAAATCAATAGAGTGGTACTTAAATAGACTTGGGCTGTGGCGGTACTATTATAAAGCTGTTTGTTTGTAATTGAACTTGTGATTTGATTGTAGATGTTTATGTTTAACGTGATATAAAGATTTTCAGGTAAATCTTTATAAATCTTTGTAAAACACATTCATCAGTCTTTTAGCTCACTACTCATTGATGCAATATTGTGCTGCTCTCATGTTCTGTATTTGCAGATTTTTACTGTATTTTTCTTATTTTTGTTTGGGTTTGTTTTACTTTACTACATTTTAAAATGGGCTTTATTAGTTTATCAGCTACTGTAACAGATTTGCCTTTTTAACATCTGTCCATGATCTGTTAATTGATCACAGAGCAGTTTCCTTGTTCTGTGATCAATGATGTTCCAAGACATTGCTGTTTGGCAGGTAATGTCATATTATCCTTTGGGTGAGCATTACACAAAACACAAGTTTTAACCTGACAAAAGCTGAGGTGGGTGTGTATGTGTGTGTCACTGGGGTGGTTAAAGGCAGCAGTGTTTCTGTTGTTGGCCTAATGTTGCCATGAAACAAAATAATATATAAAAACATATAAAGAAGCATAAATTAAGCTTAAAATGTTTATTTTTTACCTGCTTATCTGATAGCCCTGCACTTATTTCAGGCACGTTAAATAAGATTCCAACACATTAGGAGCAAAAACGCTCCCTTCTGTAGGTAACAGCTGAAGAATGGCCACACAGTGTCTTGGTGGTTAACACTATGAGCTCACTCAGAGGACCTTACTGTGGAACTTTTTCCAAACCACTTCTTACGGGTGGAGTTCGCATCTTCTGCGAGGGTTCTCTCTGGTTTCCCCCTCTTCCCCCTGTGGTCCAAAGAGATGCAATTATTGGGATTAGGTTAACTGGTGATTCTAAATAGCCCATAGGTGTGAATGTCAGTGCGGGAGGTTGTCTATCGCTCTGTGTTATCCCATGTCTTTGAAAAACATATTATTCGATTCAATTCAGTTTTATTTATACAGAATCAAATCATAACAACAGTTGCCTGTAAGGTAAACACTCTACAATAATATGAGGTTACAAGGTTAATCGTGCCTTATTTTGAGCCAAGAGCCACAAAAACGATATCATTCATTTCCAGAGTTTCATTTCCTGGTAAATACAGGAAAAGACATGCATATCACTTCACTTTAAGATAAGCAAGATTACGAATCAGTCATAGTGCCACTCTGAAGCTGAATACCTTGTTGTGTGGGGCTATTGGAAAGCACTCAAAATTTGTTAATAAGCAGCTTTTTGCTCTCTTGTCACCCACTCAGTGTCCAGAGATGCACCTACACCAACAGAGCTTTGTTGTTTTGTCTGCACTTCACAGTTAGCTATAGTTGATACCACTAGAGCAAATCAGTGCAACGATAAATTGTTGGTGTTATCAGGTTTTCTGGAAGAAACCCTGGCATGATTGTAGCCACACAAAACAATTAATATCAGCCTCAAGGTGGCACTAGAGAGGAAGTGTCGGGATCAACCAGGTTTAAGTAGCCTTAATTGTGCAAACTGCCGTCCAGCTGTTTTGGAGATTTTTCAGAGACCAACCACCTTAGAGACCCAGAGGGTTTACCGTGAGTGAGACTCTGTGTCTGACTGTCAAAAAAATCAATTACAGCAACAATCAATATTATTCAATCAAGTCTTTATCAGCCAAACATCTATTCAGTAAGAGAAAGTTAGATTGTCTCGCACATGGCCAAGAGACAAGGGGAAGCCTGCTACCAACAAAGTCAGCCAAGGACTGCGGTAAAATGTTTTTAGGTGATTGCTGTTGCAGAAGAAAGTGGTGATGTAATTTTGGAGAGATGATGCAATTGTCTAACAGCTTCATTGCACTTGTTTAGTACACCCGTTGATTCATTACGTGCTTCTCTGGTCAGTTACTGGGAGTGCATTGCAGTTAATGTAATGAAGACATCATTGGTCCTTTGGGAGATTAAAGTCTGGTTTGGTAGATTTGACTTAGTTTCCATTTTACACGGTTTCATTTCAAATCAGCTGTTGCCAGCTAAAAACACTGCCTATGTCCTGCCTAACAGAAATCATGAAAACATCTGTTGTGCTCATCAGGCATAATACAAATGCTTTGGAAGTGAATCTATGTCAGATAGCTGGGTGACTCTTGTGACTGCAATCCTTCTTTATTCAGTAATCCATGACAGCATTGTTGTCACTCCTGCCAGTTTATCAGATGCAGCAGCCTGCCAAAGGAGAGTCTACAGACAGTCTCCTTTTGTGTCCAGCCTTTCACGTCATTTGATTGACTCACCTAATAGTGAAGCAGGAGAACTGTGTGTTTCATTAACCCTCATTTTGCATGCATACCGCAGGTGATGGGTGTGCAAGAGATGAGATGAATGAACAGATAAGAAACCTGTTTAGAGTTATCACGCAGGTGTGACAAGACTCTTAGAATAGGACATCAGTGAAAAATGATGAATTATCTTTCGATGTACTTGTTTGACCAGCTCTTTTTCCAGTGACATAAGAGGTGGGAGAACAACTGTTGCTTGACTTGTTTCACAATGCCAAGAGCACCTCTGTGATCTTTGCCTTGCTGACATCATATACAGTATTATTCTCAGGTTTACGTGTGGACTCACTGCTGTCAGAGCTGTGTGCTTATAACTACACAAATTTCAAGTAAAAATAGACATGAAGTGTCTTGTCTATGTTCTTGATGCTAAAGAGAAAGAATACAGATACAGACAGTAAGTCAGCAAAACTGCGTCTCTTCCCCTGGTTCCCAGAGGTGACTGGCATGGTCAGCAGCCCTCCCTCTAGCCCCCTCCCACTCGTCCTCCCGCATCCTCTTGCCGTTTCTACCCTGCTTGCGAAGGAGGAGTGCGAGTGAGCGAGGAAGAGGCAGGGCACATCAGCTGTGGGAGTGGAACTCAGACGGCAGGCAAAGAATACAAACACACACATTGACATGCACACGCACACACATGCTCAGTCAGCGTAAGTGACACAAGTGCTGGCTCCATTCAGCACTGAGTAGACTGACTCACAGCTATCCATTAGCCAGCATGCCGCATAGAAAGAGGAGTTTCACTTTTGGAGCCTATGGGGGGTAAGAACGAAAATCCTATTGATTCCTAGATCAGTCATTCATCTTCACAGAGATGGCTATCATGTGTGAATGTATGTGTGCTTGTGTGTCTGTTTCTAGCAGCTGCTTTGATGACTCTGCACATTCTGTGTCTGTATTGGTGCTTGCACGTCTGTGCTGCTGGTGCTCTGGAATCCTCTCATTTAAAAAAAGCAAACAAAAAACAGCTTTTGTCATAAATGTCCTGCTTATTAGTTTGATATCTTTCTATTCCATCCGATACTAATGCTGTTGTTGTTCCGTGGTCATTTATTAAGGTATTAGGGTAACTGTTCACAGTAATGGCGAGGTAAAATAAGGTGACAAAAGCTATAAGGTGACAAAATCAATATGTTAAGATTCAAGTTACTAATTCTTTCTATTCCCGTGAATCCATGCTGTTGTAATTGTGCACTATGTTTTTTTTCTGAATGAGACTGATTTATTTTCATGTTCGCCTTTGATGTGACATTTTATTGTTTGTCTATGAGGAAAGAAATATGTGCAGTACACTTGAGTGTTTGTCACTGGGCAATTATGACCGCAGTGTATTTATTTGGCCCACTTGAGCTTTTACAGGACACTGGGCAGTAGAGTCAGCCAAGAATGTTTTTAATGGTCAAAGAGCAGGTGCCCCAGTGCAACTGCATGCCTGACAGTGAAAGCGTTGTGTGTGTGTGTGTGCATGTGTGTTTTTTGTGTGTGTTTTGAGTATCTTCAAGAAAGTAGAAAACTAGCTGGGACAGTTGCTGCTAGGCTGAGCAATGTATCAATTTTAGCAAGTGGCTGCAATGACAACATCAGCATGTTTGGCTGTTGGCCATTCAGAGGAGGTATGTTTTCAGGGCCTTATCTCGGCCTCCAAGAGCCCCAAGGACTGCACTCTCCAGGTGTCCTATACTTTGTAGCTTAGCACTGCTTTTTGCTGAATTTGAATGTTCAGTGAGTTGCAAGCTGTGATTTTCCTCTAAGTGAGCTGTTACTAGTGGAAGGGTCAAACGTGTTGATCCACACAACCATATCACATTACCAGTTGTAAATATTTAAACTAGCTGTAGCTTTGTTTTCGGGGGTTTTTTTCCTTCAATTTCAGCTACATGATAGCTGACCTATGATGTGGGGAGGTTAGCCAGATTTGCAGTGTATTTGTCAAACCAACAAGTTAGTTTCATTTAAATTTTCACACAAATATTAATTTTCATGTTAGAAAACACTCCTCATAAAGCAGAATTCTCGTGTTTTTTGATTTTTTTAGGTCTGTTTTTGCATTTATGCATCACTGTCTGCTACTGCTGCTGTTTAGAGCTGTTCTTACCAGCTGTCAAGTATCACTAGTGTGTTCAGTAATGAGCACATTAAGATTTGACACATCCCACTGAGAAGGTAATGGGGTAGAAAAGCAGCACAGAAGTGAAGATTGTGCTTTAATCTCTGTTTTTCATTTTCAAAAGAGAAAAAAATTAAAGGAGGAACAGATACTTTTTGGTTTAAATATTTGGTCCCACAACTCTCCCAACTTCTTTTATGAAATTCGGGCAAGAGGCTAAAACCTAATGTAATATAACAAAACCTCATATAGGAGTAAAATCGCAAATTCTAATCTATATATTTCATTAAGTGTTAAAGCATAATTGTAGCCTTGCCCACTCCACATCTAACTGTTCCCTAATTGGTGCATCTCTTGTTATTTTCAGTTAATAGCTAGTGTAGTTAGAGGAGGGTTTTTTTGAGGGAGCGCACAGCTGCTGTTCCTATAAAGATGTGAAATGTGTCTATATATCATTCTACATGTGTACAAAATAAAACACTACAAAGTCAAACCGTTTACACTAACCTTTTGCTGTAAGGAGTTCTGGTTCTTAACAAGTAGGCTGATATGTTTGCACTCGTTATCCCCAGTTTGTCACACTCATAGAGTGGAGCATTGATTGAAGGCAGTGAGAAACGTAGACCTGCTCTTGGTATAAAGCGAAGCGTGTGCTTTTTCTGGTTAGCGTTGTCTTTGAATGCACTGGCATTTCAATAGGTCAGGGTGATTGCTAACATTAGGGAGTAATATGTAAGACACTCTCATCCCTGCATCCCGTCGACATTCACTTAGGTGAACATGATCCTTCAGTTTTCAGCAGATTATTCTTTCTTTGACACAGCATGCTCATAATTTTAGAAAAAAAATGGCGGGGCCACTTAATTTAGGTGTGATTATTTACCTTTGGTAGGTTATGGCACCCACTTTCTTTTTCTAAATTTCTTTTACTGAATACAGAAATTACCAGACTTTCATATGCTTTAATGTGACCTTTAATGTGAGTTTTTGGAAGTATTCCTTAGTACTGTTGCACACAAGACATATGTTATATGTTACATATACAGATGTTTCTGTGTGTATCTCACGCAGATAAACTGTGGAATAAACACAGAGCCGTGACTTGTTAAATGAACTGAATGCTCTCCCAATAAACCCATTGACAGCAGCCTAAACAATGATGCTGTATGTTGAAGTGTCCCATTGAAAGACTGGAAGAATACTTCTCAATCCTGTTCAAAAACAGCTGAATGGAAAGACAGGCACTGTTTTGCAATCTGAGCAGTCCTCGGTTGCAGTACATATTCTCTGGTCAGCTGATTTGAAAGTGCCATTTCTTCAAGTAAACAAGCCCACATACCCTTTGGAAAAAATGTTGTTTCACAGTGTGAGATAAAATACTTCACAATAACAGCATGATTAGCAATCAGTTCTGGTTCAGCAGTTGAAGCTGGAGCTGGCATCATCAAAGAATCTACCATAACCTTCAAGCATATTGTTATTGAAGTGGTCCGAGAGGGAAGTAGACACCTGCACCTCATCTGGGGTCAGTTTTTAGTTCTTAGAAGATCTAGTCTGTGAGTGAAAACATTGAGCAGTCATGTCTTTTCTAAAAACAACAGGTAAACAGTGTAAAGTATAAAAATCTTTAACCTACTAAAGTTTTTTTCAGTCCTGTGATATGAATCATGTGCTGATCTCCCCGCTCATCTTGTTTTCTCTTCCTGTTTCAACTTTAACATAAAAAGGGTTTATTTCAATGAAAGTAGCTGTTTTTCATACTTTGTGCTTCTTGAAAGAAAAAAACAGCAGCTTTTATCTCTGATTGTCGATGATCAATTGTCTAAAGCATGTTATTTCAATTTTAACCGTGAACAATGAGAAGACAATGTAGAGGAGCTGATTTTGTTTGACAAAAGCAAATGTTTGCATGAAAAAGATGATTACACTGCAAGATAGAGGTACTTGAGAGCAGGAGGCCACTCAAGTACAGAAAGGGCAGTGGCAAAACAAATAGGAGCTGCAAGGCAACCAGAGGGCTCTTCAGCGCCTGTGTTCTCATATCACCTTGCATATTTACTCTGACATTCTCATTCGCATCCACAATGACGAGCCATCTGCGGAGAACAAGTGGGAGGGAAGAGACTGACAGAAGCAGTGTTAATTAACTAATGTTCACAACGTTACCACCAAACGTCAACTTATTAAAAGACCAAGTTCAAACAGGTATGCTGCTGCATCTTAGCCCACTGAAGGTTCTTATCCATATCAGATATTATGACATCCTTATGTTGCCTAACAACCAGCTGCAAATGGGCTAAAATGACCCATGTGTACCGTTGATGCACCATTTTCATTTCATGAAAATGACATCTGATTCATATCCTTAAAACTTGGATTATATGTCATATATTATGACACCATTATGTTGCCTGACAACCACCTTGGAACATAATAAAATAACATGTGTATATAGTGGAAAAGGACCCAAAAGGCTCAATTTTTATAAGCTTAAAAAAAGAACCTGTAACATCAGGCATGTACTGGTCGATTAAAGAAACAGCTGGAAAGGATCTAATTTTTCTGTAAATCGTGTTAAATCGGAACCTAAAGGTTATCTGAAGTTCATGCAGGGCTACAGTCGTTGACCAAATCCGATTGTTGTGATTTTGGCATAGATAATTATGCGCTCTTTATGTAATCAGTACAGCTACTCCAACATGATGCAACTAAAATATAACTGAGAGAAACATAGAACACCACACTACAACTACATGAAATTAAAGATAACTGAACAAGTCTGCTATACTTGACTGGTAAATAAAAGGCTTGTCATGTGTTTTGTGTGTGTGGTAGTTGTGCTAAATATTTCGCTACCAATGTGTCTGTTTTCACATACACTGTATCTAACTGTACTGTAGCTAAATGGGGACATTCAGCCACTTTGCGCTGATTAACGTGGGCTGAATGAGCCCATTGACATGAGCTCATTCAGCCCACGCTGGGCTGAGATACAGTACAGTGTCTAGATCTGGTCACGTTCATCATTGTTTGACAGTGTTTCTCATCACTACCCTAGCTGTTATTTCTGCTTAAGGCCTTGTGCATCTCACTGAGTATATTTTTGAGTCCACTTCATACTTCCACTTCAGTCGGATATAAGAATACTGTGTGTCCTTGTGTAGGTTTTAAGTGCAGAAAGACCTTATTCAGAATAAAGTGAATAGGCTCACATTCTGCATTCATCCAGTCATCCACGTTTCTTTAGTTTTGGTGGATAAATAGTGGCATGTTGCTTAAGTGGAACACACTTTGCTACAGACTGAAATCTCTCCAAAACTTTTTGATGGATTTTCACAAAGTTTTGAAAAGACATTGATGTTATTTATGAAGCCTTTGGTAAGCCCCCAGCTTTTTATTTTTTATCTTGGCAACAAAGGACTGAAATGAAATTTGCTACACCCTCAGGATGAATAGTATTTATGTTAACATCGGCTGATGGCAGTTAACCTCAATACCAGCCCTAATCAGCCAATTGCTCAGCTGACACCCTTCCAACTGGTAAATCTCATATAGAGTGCGCTATTTAAGTTGCTTTAGAGTCCTTCCAGTTGCTGCACTTTAATAGTAACTCTCCAGCTGCTTTCCCTGCTTCAGGCCCCTCGTGTCTGCAGATGGCTGTGCAGCCAGGTGTAATCTCCTCTCTGAAATAATGTTAATCGAATATAGCCTTAGTTATATTCGCTGACTGTATCTAAAAGGGCATTTGAAAAGTGAAGCTAGTGCAGAAGTGCTGTAAACATGTATTCTTTCCAGTGGCCTGAAGAGGCTGATTTTTCTAGATACATAAGAAACCTGCTCATGTAAAAGTCTATGTGATAATAAAACCTTAGCTCGCTAAGCTCGGTCCTCGTGAGTTTCAATTGCAAGATTCATTTAATACAGCTACATCACTATGGTCCCTGTCAGAATCACAATGAACCAAATAGCAAGACTTTCTTTTAAAAAGCAAGTTTTGGGTTGTTTTTTTTTGCTACCACATGAGCAAACAGCAGTCCTGGGTTTCTTAGTTACACCCACACCTGACTAATCACTTTGGGTTTCAAAGTATCAAGAGTGCAACTGTCAAACAGCAGCACATTAATCACAATGGAAATCAACCCTTTAGTACAGTCTGTGGTTATACTCAGTATTTACTGCAACTAATCAAATGTTACCCTGCAATCACGTTAGCAAGGTGTCGTCTTTATTCAACAGATAATAGGTTAAGATGGTTAAGATTTGTGACCTTTTCACTTCTGTTTTAATTGGAGAATATTAAGCGAATACTGTCAAAGGACTTCAGTTATTCCCAACTCCTTCAGGGTGAACTGGGTGTAACACTGCCTATGACTCCATTAGAATTTACTGCAGCCATAGGGAATTAGAATAATTTCTGTGTAAGCTGGAATCACTGGGATCATGTTTTCTAGCATTAGTTGAAGCAACATCTGTTTGTATAAATGACTCGTTTAAAATGTGCGTTTGAAGGTACTGACTAACAGCACTGGCCTTATTCTTTATCATTATGCGTTCATTCCCTAAGAACATTAATCTCAGGGCTATTTTCAAGTTTCTTTTCTATCAGTATGTTGTTGTTGTTGTTTTTTCTGCTGGTGACAACTACCGTTGGGATGTTTGTGCTTGACCCCTATCTTGATTATGTTAAATTTACAGTGCAACTTATATTTAAGATACAGAATTAAAATGGGAAGAACATGCTAATGCAGCAGATTTGTAGCTGAACAACAAACTTCTTTGCTTTAAGCTGGATTTCCTCCAGTCTAACTCCTGAGCCTTGTCTGCTGACCTACTTGCCACCAGCAGTGTTGCTGACTTTTATATACATACATACACCACTGGCTTAAGTTAATTCTTTGTAAAGAAGTGAAGGAAATGTTTAAAAGTTTAGCCAGAGATGAGAAAAAATTGCAAGCTGTAGTTAAACTCAGATTAAGTTGAATTAACCAATTGTTGAGTGTGACAGCCGCTGACACAGTGATGACCTCGGGTTTCTGAGACCCGCCTTGAGACTCCTTCATCCCCCCCTTGATGTTTGTTTCCATGGTAACCCATTTGTGTGTATGATACCTAGCTGAAAGCATACAGGAAACATTAAAAATATATATTTGCTTGTATCTGGCATTAATTCCTGTCTTTTTTTTGTAGAAAATCAAATCAAAACAAGGCTATCCACAGTCTTTTCACAGTGAGATTTGAATGTGCAAAATATGACTCATGATACAAAAATGCATTAGCACAGCCATATTTATTATAGTCCACTTTTGTCCTCTCTAACGGTGACAGAATATTTTTTTGTTTTGCTGTTGCAGCTGGGATTTTTTTCACCACTGACTGTTGTCTTGCCTGGTACATCTTTACTTTATTTTATTTACACACAGTCTTGTACAATTAATAGAAATGTGATTTTCAATAGTGTTATACCATATGCATAACAAATAATAGCATTTCGAATTGCTATGAGTGTAATAATGTTAGTATGTTCAGTCAGTTGGAGACTTAAGAAGATCAGATTCAGTTTTTCTTGTTTCCTGTCTAAACCCTAACAGCTCAGAGTCTTTGGTGTAAAGCAAAATCCCTACAGAATGTATCCCATCACATTCTTTCCAGCACAGTGCAGCAAAAAACATGTTAATTTCATAATCAGTAGGTTTGACGTGTCTGTCATTCCTCTGTCCCGGTTCGTCTGTAGGAGGTCTAAGCTGCTGGGTGCCATGTTTTGTGGTCGAGCTAAGGTGAAGCTTGATTTTCAAATGCTCTGTATTTGTTTTGGACTCTCTGGTTCAGAACCTTTTTCCAATAATCTCGACACACCCTGGTTGATTTCATTTTATGGGAATTCCATGAAACCTGAGAACCTGGGTGAGCAGCACAGGATGAGGTTGAGGAAAATGTTATTCTTAGTGATGCAGCACATACGAAAACAACTTTAGCCGCTTCACAAGAGCACAGCCGATGGCTCATGAGCCCTATTCTTCTCTCCTAAGAACCAGTATGAATTCCATTTAAGATGGAGCGCTGATTTATCTACAGACACGGGTCTGTTAGGCTCGGTGAAATCAACACTGGTGGTAGATTTGAGATAAAACGGCACCACAAATTCCATCTGGGTGCCATTATCCGTCACTTGAAGGCCTGGGGCTGAAAATGATGAGTGATCTTCTGCACTGAGGGGAATCAGGCGAGAACCTACTGTAACAACACAAGTCTGTTGATTCGTGACTCCACAGTGCAATGAACAAACAAACCCCCCCAGGGCTTGTTTCCTCTCAGTAAAGCAGTTTTCTAAGAAGGAGGAAGCTTTAGGCTTTCATTTAGTTTTTGAGAACTTCTCACAAACAAAAGAAGAAGTACGATTTTTTTTTAAAACCCTTGGTCCTTAAGTTACCTCATTGGGGATTTTTTGGTAATCAATGAAATGAAGAGATCTTTTTATATGAATGGAAACTGAACTTCCTTCCCCAGAATGATTTCTGAGCTGTATGCTCGTGATTTTTGGCCTATGACTCTTGGTATGACATGTTTAATCAGTCTTTTCCCTTTTTACAAGACTTAAATATCTCAAACTGATGGATTGTCATAAATTTACTGTTAGTGCAACATGTCTATATGCTGCTGAATGGTTATGATACTGTACTGAGCCATTCATTTTTTCCTAAATATGAAGAATAAAACTAGTAATATGTATGCACTTATCTAGTAATATAACAATTTAACTAATGTAAGCACATGTAATGAGTTTGACTTTACAGTGCCACCATCTGGTCAAAATGTGTATATTTCTAATGCTATTCAACAATATCTGCTACAGCTCTAATATTCTCCTCACCTTCAGCTGAAGTTTGTAGTTAGTGTTAAATGCTAAGTGGCAACCTGAGGCATTACACATCATCAGAGCGAACATGGTCAAAATGCTAAAAATGCCCATCTTCAGCTTCACAAGGGTAGCTACTGTGGCAATGGTCGTTTTCTGTGTGCTTTTCTGTTTTTCAGAGAGCAAGAGTCACTTTCCAGAATTGCTCGCTCCTCCGGGTGTTGCTGTGCCATGCACACTAATCATCTCCACGGAAGGATGAGTAAGAGTTCTAAACCATGGTGGCCTTATTGGCAGATACAGAGTGCGAGCAGGCAGAGACCCAGCTTGGGGTTTCGGGATGTCTCCTTTCTATGTCATGAGAGATACAGTCAGCAAGGAGGGGGAAATCAATCGCATTATTGGCTCATTTGTATTTAATTTACACCGTCAGGTGGTGTATCATCTTTAGCACCGCTCAGGAAAGCATGTAAGATAACATATTATATAAAAAAGGTATTCTTTCTTACTCTTTTCTAACCACACAAGAGGAATATCTGCAGCTTACTCACCAGAATCAAATATTCACCTTTTAGACACTTAAACGCTGCAGCCCGAGAAAAGCTGTAATTTTTTGTTTGTGATGTTTTCAGAGTAGAAGTAATCGGTCTTTTTTGTGTGTGTCTTGTGATTTAAATCTTGCCATATGGACTTGATTATCATGATGAATATCTTTCTGTCTGATGAGCAGAGCAAGCCCAGTTTGTTATTAATTGCACGTTAGGATTAACCTTCTGCTGCACGCACAGTGCCATCTTTTGGCAAAAACGGGTTTCTACATTCTCGTCCCCGGAGTTCCCAACCCTGCGTCATCTGGTTATTGTTTCCAGTGATTACTCCTGCTTAAATCTGTTTATCCAGAGTATGTAAGGACAGATGATAGTTTATTTTGGAGTGACAATGTGCACTGAGCCTGAAAGCGTCGATTTAAACTGAAACATGATTCACTTTGTCTCAGAAAACACCAGACTAATAATCATTCCTTCATTCTGGGAAATGATGCTTTAACAGATGGCAGGAGTTATTTCAGGGTAACCCAGCTTGATGCATAATCAACCTCTTTCACTTCATTGAACGTTTTTTTTAAGTGCACTTTAAATTAATCTGAGTAAACTTGCAGGAAGGCAAATGAATGGAAACTACATGTACCTGTTACTAGGTATTATATTCCTGTTTGTTATTAGACTTTTGAGTAATTATTTGAAATAAAGTTTAAAAATATATCAAATGTACTTGTTTTTAGGAAATGCCGACATAAGCACATTAAATAAAACATATTTATTTGGGACTGTAACAGCTGCTGTTTGTTTTTGTTTTTCAGAGTGGACAAGACATTCTCCAAGGCCAGAAGCTTATGGTACGTGTTCCTTCTGTAATAAATGACATTCCTTTCGTTTCAATAAGCAAACACAGCCAATTAAAGTTAGAAATCTTAAAGCTTTCTTCTGTTGATGATCAATGTCATTGACTCACACCAGCTTTGTCATTTTTAAATGTGCGAATCAATGCAGTGAGTAGAGTTAAGTAAGATGAATGAGCCTGTAAAAGTTAGAGCAGATGGGCAGCAGCGGGAACACAGATACCCAGTCCGCCCTGCCATCTCTGCCGTGCTGGCAAGGTTGGAGTGCTGCTGCGAGTGGCACATGGAGAGATGCAGGGATCTGAGCATGCACACCTCCTGCCACTGCAGATACACGACACCATTTCTGAAAGCTTTTAGGTGTGGTGGCATGAGTGTCTGGCCCTCGTCCCCCTCTGTCTGAATGCAGCACATTAAACAGTGCTCCGCCATAGTATCATCCTGCCTTCCCTCTGGAATACAAATGCAGGAGGATATCTTTTACCAGCCAGGCCTGCATTACTCAGCAGTGGCTGAGCTTGTTTGCACAGGCTGTCGTCCAGCCATCAGCTGCTGCTGCCTGAGACAGAATGATTGCACCTCTTTGTAAAGAAGAAGAGTAAACTCCGGACCAAAATAAAGATGAAGAGGAGGATCTAAAACAGGACACAAAAGCAGCACTGGAGATAAAAGACTTCTGGGCGTGAAGAGGAGGGAAGGAGGGGGAAGCAACTGACTGGATGAGGTGACGCTGCAAATAGAAAATGTGGGGCCTGCATTAGAAAGCCAAGATACGATAATACAAGTTCATCAGTCATACTCGTTTTTTGGCAATCTTCTTCAAATCAGGGAATAATTCAGCACTGCTTGAAAAATTGGGTGCAGTGTTTAAAGCTACTTTACATTAAGATCGCTGGTTATACCCAGCGGGGCAGATCATCTTTTATCAGCAACATTGGCGTTGCCTGGATAAAGCAACTGTGAAAGTGCCATCTGACAATCTTTTTTTTGAAATCAACAAGCGCTGACAGTTCATGCATCCAACTGTATGTTGGACATGACTGGAAATCTGAACTGTAAACTGTAAAAAAATATCTGGCAGCAAAACTTTAACAGAACTCAGCAAAATGCCGTGCTCACCTTTCCGAATCGGAAGGCCAAGAAAACTCTGGTGAGTTTCTGATTGACTTGACTTTAGATAATGCTGATAAGAACTGCATGATTCCCCAGCCGTTTGGGAAACAGATTTTAATATACATACACAGGATTATCTTTATTATCCTTCTGTTGTATTCATACTGTTTACAATATAGATTCAATGATTAGGTAGAATATTCTGTGATTCATGACAGGAGAGCTGACCTGATGCATTTAATATCACTAAGTCTTAAGATGAAGTCTTTCCACACTTGCTGCTGATTAAATCTAAAATGATCATCTTTCATCTGGTCATTGTGGGTCATACACAATAAGCTCATGATCCTCAAACCCAGTTTCCACACTCTGCGGGGGAGGCTTGTAATTGGTGATAATCCTGCCTTGCTAAGCTCCCTCGATGGGACGCAATGGGAGAGAAGGGTTAGTGTGGATAATGGCTATACTGAGATGTTGTATAAGAGTGTCTCTCCTCTCTCGACTGAGCACATGTGAACATACATCCAAGTAAAAAGTGCACTCTGCTCTCCTATCCCTGGAGCAGCATGGCTTATTGTAGCAGGCTGTAGGTTGTATAACTCACTGCCCATTCTTTAAAACAAACCACAGATCCCACTCTCTCATCCATGCTTCAGCTCACCTGACCTTCATGCTGGACAGGTCTGCACTTTTGAACCACCCTTAGGTGCCACTTTTACTGGCAAGAAAAAAAAAATCAGGCTAGAGAGCACTGGTCTTTGCTTGAAACGTGGAAAGAAACAAAATGAGCCTTTTATTCTTGCCCATTAAACAAGCTTTGTTTCTTGCAAAAACAGTCTTTAAATGCATCTCTTAGACTTCTCTTAGATTGATAAGCTTTTCACACTCATCAGCTATAGGGCAAAGCTTTATATGCATTCTCTATAAATCTGAATTTAACATGAACATGAAAGGGATAAAATTACATTTACATATTTTTGCTCCGGCTTGCAGTGCCATTTATTCATATAGATTGTTTCAGTGTGAGAGCTATTAGCCATAAAGATGTCTGTCGTCTCTGAATATAGTAAAACTAAATGGCATTTCCCATCCCACCCTTATATTGCACGAAGAGAACAAAATACAGAATAAAAAAACAACAACAATAACAACTCAGCAGCCATGTCTTATGACCTAGTTCCTAAAAAAACATCTATAAACCTTGTTGTAAGCACTTCCATGTAGGAACTACTATTTTCTCTATCCTGTACTACAATTGCCAGCTGTATCAGTGTGCAAATGTACATGTGATGGGAGGCCCATGGTAGTCATTGGGTGAGGGGATGTAAACAGTCTCAGATAAATTATAATGTAGTTCAGGAGACATAAAGTAGTGCCTACATGAGACTACTTGCAACAAGGTTTCAAGATGATTTTGAGTTGTAAAACTATTTTTATAAAATAAAACATTTTATAAAAAGGGGCAACTTAATCTAAAACAATCTAGATCAATAAATAGCATAAATTAAAGATAGGAAAAATGTATATATTTGATTTCAAGCTGCCCTCTTGAAATGTATAAGATGATTTTTTTCCAGTATGTGAAACATGACATGCAACTTGCAGAGGTTTGATTCTCGAGCTTGAGGATTTTTATATAATAATTTAATGCTCTGTATTTTTTGACCTGTTTGTTGAAGTTACTTTGTAAGCAAACGATATTAGACTTAAATTATCATTTCAATATGAGTATTTCATATGCATATTTAACAAAACGATGGAGCCTTGTTGTGTGTTTGTTGTCTTTTGGTTCCCTTATTGTTAGCCCTCTGGTGGCCAAAGTTAGTAGTGCATAGTTTTGGCACTTAATGAGCCCGTAAGTCAGGTAAACAAGTGTACTTGATGGGCATCTGTGCATGTTTTCCCCCACGGTGATCAAATCTGCTTTTTACTGTTTTATTCATTTCTTCCTTTCTGCTGAATGACCTTGCTATATATTTCCAATTGTTTGATGTGAGTTCCTATTCTATTTTTATGATGCTTTCTAAATCCTAGGCCTATTTCATCCCTGCTGTCTTTTTGGGGGAGGTTAGCTTGTAAACAGTTAAGAGGTGTCATTGTAAACACTCCTCTGTTTGTGTACACTGATTTCCCAAGAGATGTCGCTCCTCATCATCGTCTGACTGTCTCCTTTGCACATGCGCTCACCGCTGCATTGTGAAAACGGTCTCGGTGTCAGCTTGCTTGTGCACGCTCATCCATGTATGTCAAGCCGAGTCGTCTGGAAAAGCAGACATACTGGGAGAGCAAACTGTCAAGGCCGATCAGACCTGACTGTTTCTCTGTGTGTCTCCTGCTGTCTGACCTAATATAGCACCGAAGTGACAACCTCACCCCTGGTTCGAACCACCTCAATAATCCAATTCCTAAAATGTCATCCACCATCCAGGCCCAGCAGAAGATCTCTTATAAAAACATAAAGCTCAGAACGCAGCCGGCTGCTGAAGGTTGAGACGAGTCCCAGGCAACTTTGACTTGACATTTCCCGTTTTGCTTCATCTGATTCGTTGAGATTTTCAGCACTTAGTTATTCCTTCAGCGATTTTAAAGTTCACTTATTTGCTTGCAAGTTGCTTTGCTGCAGTCACACTGTGTAAGACAGGAGTTTAGGTATGAAAATGGCAGGAAAGGTTTTAAAGATGTGGGGCCTGTTTATTGACAGATGTCATGCAGAAATGATGAGCTAAGCCAGTGGGAGGAGGAGGCTGACTCGAGGATTTTCTATTCTCTTCCTTCCTTCTTCCTTTTCTTTCCCAGGCCTAACAAATCTTGCATGATCGGAAGTTTTGCGAACAAATTCCTGATTGATAGGATATTTGTACACTTAACAGATAAAACCGTATGAGGTTAGGTATCATGGACTACACTAGTAACTCCAATATGTCAAGCACAAAAGAGCACAGAAGGACACTAGAGTGACCTTCTGTTGTAGAAAAGGCACATCTGCCTGATTGTGATTTCCCAGAGGGCTTGTTTCTAAGGAAATCTGCACAGTGACATTGTTAGAGATAAGGAAGCTGAAAATCAGGACTCATTGGTAGAGAGAACATCCTTTATTCAATACCACCTGCTATACCTGGCCTTTTATTGCTAACTGAATAGGGCTAGCTATGAGGGAAAGTGTAGACTCAAGAGAAAGAGCCTCCTTGTGCATCAGATTCCACAGACATTTTATTTCCAGATTTATTTCGTCTGTAGCTTTTGATTTAAAAAAGGTTTTGAACCTTTTGAAGTTTTTAGTATACATATATATATATATATATATTTTTTTTACCACCATTTGTGTTCTAGTTTCTTATTAGGAACTGCTGATTAGGATTTCCTTATCTGCCTTTTTGTATAAAAGGTCTTTTAGAGGTACAGTTCCCTGGGGAATGGAAAGCTTCTCAGACTTATCTGCTTTTGATTTTGCCCAGTATTTGCTTGGCACCAGAAACCGGTTCGCAAAACAGATTAGGGAAATTCATATGTTTATTTTTGTTACTTCCTTCTGGCACACAGATTAAGACACGAAGCTGACTCATAAGATCGTTTGAATTATGTTACATATTTTTTTAACATAACCTCCAGCAAAATAACATATTTTTTTTCCAAGCAAGTCAGAAAGTCAGATCTTTTCATCTGGAAAAATTGCCTCTGAGTAGAGAAATGACTTTACACCAGAGATAATCATCCTGTCATTTGTTTGAGTAGTTCAAATCAGTTTAAGGGGGTTGGGTAGGGTGTCCTTGGGAACACAGCCATTTCCAAGGACTGTTTGTGTTGTTACTCCTTGTGTCCCTGGCTGTTGGAGGACTTGCGTGTGCATTTGAGCAGGTCAGGTCAAGTTACTTCTGTGCTGTACT